GCCGGTCCTCTGTCACTGCCGTATGTCTATCCATTCACAGTTTTAAAACTGCTTCCACATTTTAGGTATCTGTTAGAGCAGCACCCCACTCTCGGTACCAAATTCTGTCTTAGTTATCTAGTGCTGCCATAACAGAAATACCACAAGTGGATGGTTTTAACGAAGAGAAGTTTATTTCCTCACAGTCAAAGTAGGCTAAAAGTCCAAATTTAGGGCGTCAGCTCCAGGGAATGTCTTTCTCTCTCTGTCGGCCTTCTCATCAGTGTTCCCCTGGACTAGGAGCTTCTCGGCGCAGGGACCCCTGTCCAAAGGACGCACTCTGCTCCTAGCACTGCATTCTTGATGGTATGAGGTTCCCAAAGTGATTTATTTTGCATTTCTATGTAAGAAAGAGTTTTTAAATAAAAATTGATTCACAAATTAGAAATTGGAATTAGAAAGAAACCTTTGTTAAATCATTAACTGGAGCTCTGGCCTTGGAAAATGTTGTATTTTTCTACTACCTCACCTCCCTCAGTAAAATTTTTATCATTCTTTGCATATTATTTATGCGTTTGTGGGCATTGATTGGAGCCCTGATGGTGTAGTGGTTAAGAGCGCAGCTGCTAACTGAAAGGTCAGCAGTTTGAATCACCAGTGGCTCCTTGGAAACCCTATGGGGCAATTCTACTCTGTCCTATAGGGTCACGGTGAGTCGGAATTGAGTCGACAGCAACGGGTTTGGTTTTTGTTTTGGGTATAGATTATGAGACTAAAGTGAATCAATGTAAAATAGTTTGATTGTATTTACCATAAAAGTGATCTAATGTTTTAGGTAATGTCTCTTATTAACATGTTGTTATTGTGTGTTTGGTCATATTTATGTTAAAATTTGGCTATGAAATTTCATCACCACTGAAATTTGTCCTGTGGGCTTTTATTTATACATATTTGACTTTTTTTTTTTTTAAAGGAACCTATTTTTTATCATTTTCATCTGGTTATAAATTTAGTAAAATATTATTGTAAAATAAATCAATCAAAACAGTGTATATATATATACATATATATATAGTAGACAGTAACCTCCTCTGTATTCTTCCAACTTTTCCAAGTTTATTCCTTTAAAAATATCCATTGTGAAATATATCATCTTTCTTTGGTTAAACTCAGTTCTATAAATATATAAATAATGTAATATATAAATATAAAAATGTATATTATATACATGTATATTTCAAGAATAATCATAAAAGGAACATATTTGTACTAACTCCCATCGCAACAACTAGAAAATTGCTAGTATCTTAGAAGCTCAAATTATATCCCCAAGTTTCTACTGAAAAGAAGCTATCTTAATATGATTTTTGTAAGTTTAATGCATAAGAATGAATCCTAAAACAATATATTATTTAATTTGCTTCTTTTCAAACTTTGTAGAAGTAGAATCATATTGTATGTATTCTTGTGTGACAAGATTCCACCATCCAATATTTTATATTTTTGCTATTGTCTATGCATATAATGTAGCTGTAGTTCATTGACTTTGTTGCAGTGTAGCATTTCGGTGCATACATTTATACTAAGATATCCATCCTTCTGTGGATGGCCATTTAGATTGTTTCCAGTGTTGCCTTCATTCTTCTATGGCCAGTCCTATACATGCCTTCTTACACACTCATGCAAGAGTTTTTCTGGGATGTATGTCCCTGCAATTGCAGTTTAAGTATCCCGGGTAATACCGTTTTGCTTCCCAAAGGGTTTTACCTTTTACACTCTTATTAGCAGTGGATAAGAATTACTGTTTATCCACAGCTTTGCCAAAACTTGGAATTTTTCTATATATTTTTTCCATTTTTGTTCAATTTCATGAGTGTGAAATGGTATTTGAATATAGTTCAATTTTTACATTTCTCTGAATACTACTAGGATTGAACATTATTTATTTATAGGGATATATTTTTTTCTATGAAATGGATGTACATTCCTTTTGCCCATTTTCCTATCATTTGTCTTTTTTCATATAGATTTATAGGAGTGCTTTACATATCCTGGATTTTAGTTCTTTGTTATTTGATATGAAATGAAAATATTTTCTCCTAGTATTTTATGTAACTTTTTATTCTCCTTGTGGACAGATATTCTTAATTGTAATGTGGTTGAATTTATCAATATTTTTTAGTGTTGTTATGCCTATTCAAATAAACCTCCCATGTCTCAGGAACATAATTTTTTGTCTTACAAAAATTTTACAGATTTACCTCCCTATTTATATCCTTAATCCATGTAGAACTGATTTTTGTGAACAAAATGATGTAAAGATCCAATTTCACTTTGTTCCTATAGATAGCCAGTTGTCCCACCACCATTTATTAACTAAGCCATTCTTTGCTTAATTATCTGCAATGGCTGACTTGATATAAAGTTTTCATATATGTTTAGGAATATTTTGAGTTTGATTATCTTTTTTTTTTATATTAGTTTTTTTTTAATTGTTGTAATTAAATGAAGTTTACACTTCATGTTAGTCTCCCATACGGAATGAGTTTGATTATCTTTAGTTTCCTCCTTTTATCTAACTCATGCATCCTCTTAATTGCCATAATCTTCTAATAAATGTCTGCCTCTACTTGGGCAAGTGGCTGCATCATCTTTCTTTGGTATATTTTGGCTTTTGGGGGCCCTGTTTTTGTGCCGTAGAACTTCTAGAATCAGCTTTTCAAATGCATTTTTAAAAATCCATTGAGATTTTTATTGGAATTTAATTGAATCTATAGTTCTACTTAATCTTTAGGTCTATTCATATATGTTTAAAATATTGATTGTTTCCAGTACATAGACAATGCAGATCTTTTTAAATCTTGTTATCTTTCTAAAATACCTTATTAAGCTCAAAAATTGATTTGTAGATTATTTTGATCAATGTATACAGTAATATTTGCTAATATGACATTATTTTCATTTGTACTCTTTATGACTTTCAGATATTTTTCTAATCTTTTTGCATTAGCTGGGACTTCAAGTATAATATTGAATAGAAATGTTAGTCATGGGCATCCTTGTCCTGTTTCTGATCCTAAAGAAAACATTCTAGCATTTCACAGTTATGACTTACACTATTTGTTTTACATTATTTATGACATTTATCACATTGGACAGATAAGGAGGAAGACATCTACCATTCCTAGTGCTCACCAACATTGCCAGATGACTGTAAAGGCATTAACTCATTTTATCCTCACACCTATCCGAAAAGATTGATGTCACCAACCATTTTCAGAAACTTGGATGTAAAAAGATGCTACAGTTGCCCCCAGTGTCATAGCTAGCAAGTGGCCAAGCTAGGATCTAAGTTCATATTTTGGCCCACTTTTTTTCCTGCTACATCACAAGTATTTCGTTGTGGTGGCTTCCAGTACTGAGCCACTTGCCATATTAAACTGACCAGGGAAGCAGACACCTGGCCTGTGAACTTTCAGAGACAGGAACTAAATCAGCCTTGTTCACTCCAGTATTTCTAAAGCGCAGTGTTGACCTTAGCACTTGGGAGGTGCTCAGGCAATACTTTGAGGGCTTGGATGGGAAGGACGTTCTAGTACTGACTGGGTCATCCTTGCTGTGGCTCTGATTCAGGATGTGGTGGGTGTGGCCTGATCTCGTCTTCGCTAATGGTTGACTGGTAGTCACTCACCATTCTTCTGGGATTCAGTTCTTTGTGAAATGCCCCAGGTGGCACTGTCTTCCTTGATGCCATGCTTTGCCTACCAATGGCCACTTTCTGTTTCTGTGTCCAGAGTCAGGTCATTTGGCACTGTGAGCTGGAACCTTGATTTGAGCTCTGGTGCCAGGACATGGATTATTTGACTATCAAATGAAAACAGCCCTGAAGTAAAAGCCTTCTGGCAGGGGGAGAGTGTGATGCTTGCAGGTCTGTGAGCCCACCAGTGGGCAGAGGAGAGACGCTGTATGACCAGATGAAAGGGATTTCAGTTTTCCAATACTGCTCATAATTCTTTGTTTATAGCTTATCCGAAGATGATTCCAGACCATACTGCCTGATTTTTCTTGACAACATGCCATCATTGCCTAGGAAGTGAGGGAGCCTTTTGCTTATAACCTTTCTTTGGTTAAACTCAGTTCATCCGTGGGAGAAAATTGTTCTTCCCAAATAGTCACATTTCCGTTTGATCTGTCTAGCATCTCATCGGATCCACATTGTTATTCCTGGGTATGGTAAAAATTGCAATGTGGAGGGAACGTTGAGTCTTCATTTAAATGCTACCCCCATGATGATGTGCTGGCATTCTTACCAGTCCCATAAAAGCCAGCCCTGCCATCTGCTTGGCGAGACCAGGGAATGAATCAACAATCTAGCTGACTTCATTAGACTTTCTAGCCCTGCTTCCTCTGTCCCGGGAGGAAAAAATGCACATGCTCTATAGGAAATCTATTTCCTCCAGGACAAATTCTTTTTTGTTTTTTCTTTCATTCTCTCAACTCCCTCACCAGATAATCTGCTGTGGTCTCTCAGTGATGAAAATAGTTGGCTCTTCATTGAGAAGATCTTTGAATATAAATGTCTCGCTGAAAATTAAAATAACGCCTCAGTTGGATGGAGGGAATGTTGCAGACAAGGTTGAAATCCATTGTTGCAACAAAGTAGAACCATCCAATATGCATTTACTGGTATCTGATTCGTGCCCTGGAAATATCACAAAGCTACTTTCTCTGATCAGAGCTCTTTCAGTGATACTTAAAAAATAATTGTATTTTTCAGAATGTCAGCTTTAGTTACTGGAGTTGATGGCCCAATAGCTGAAGAGGTCTATTTAAAAATACATATTTAAAAATATACTGCCACCTACAGTACTGTTTAACTTTTCAACCGGGCTCTTGTCATGAATGTTAATTAAGCAAAGAGTTAATTTGGGGGCTGATTAGTTATTGTTTCTGTTATGATCTGCTGATTTACATAGTATACACGTCTTTACTTATGCATCTATTTATCTGTTTCCCTCTAGGAAAAGAAGAATATATTGCTACTTTCAAGGGATCTGAATACTTCTGCTACGACTTGTCTCAAAACCCCATTCAAAGCAGCAGTGATGAAATAACTCTATCCTTTAAAACCCTTCAGAGGAATGGACTCATGCTTCACACCGGGAAATCGGCTGATTATGTCAATCTTGCCCTGAAAAATGGAGCTGTCTCTCTGGTCATTAATTTGGGATCAGGGGCCTTTGAAGCACTAGTGGAGCCAGTGAACGGAAAGTTTAATGATAATGCCTGGCATGATGTGAAAGTCACCAGGAATCTGCGTCAGGTAACAGCGCAGTGGATAAGAGAGTAACTGGTTTTGTTTCTCGCTACAGCTGTGTGTGTGGTACTTGAGAACCCTAACAACACGGTACACGGCTCCTCAGAGTCACTTACAAATTAGCTTGTCTTCTGTGGTGAATCTTCCTGCCATACTTGAGCAGGGGCATATCTAGAAAGTTCTGGGGGCCCAACTGGTATTTTGATACAGTGACATATGACAATTTCCCAGAGGGCTGCAAGGATATCCCTGTGACTTGCCTTTCTGTGATGTGTGTGATTTTGTTGTGTTTTTAGTTTTTTTTTTGTTTGGTTTTTTTTTGGTGTTTGTTTGATTTTAAAATGTAGTTTCATGGTTATCATTTGGAAGCATGCACACTGGGGTCATTAAATCACAGTTCCTTTTTTGTAATCAAAGAAACAGTGTGTTTGTGATTTGGGATTGTGTCAATCCCTACTCCCTCCCCATCGCCACCCCTAAAATTGGGACATGAAAAGTCCCTGAGGGGGGAAAAGGACTTCGGGGGATTTCCATATCCCCTAAAGAGTCTGTTTATGCAGACATTTTTAGCACAGACACTTTAAGTTAAACCCCAGATGACGCTGTACAGGCTGGTTCATCTTCTAGTGCCTGTTTATGTTTGACCATATTTTTTTAAAACTTCTTGCAAGAGGCACTGGATACTAGGAAAACCGGAACTCTTTAGTAAATCCACGGGTCCACATATACTGTATGTTTTTAGCTGAGGCATACTCTTACAGTATATGTACAGGTGAAAGTGGAAAACCAATTGTCCTATATAAGGAACACTGTAAGTTTTGGTTATCATTTGAAATTTATGATATTTTATAATATATCATTTTGTTAAGTGTTGACAGTGACTAATTTTTCTGCCATACCTGCTGATCTCAAACTAATATCCTTAACATATTTGTTGTTTCTCTGGACAGTTGCAGAATAACTGGAATGTCTCTAGTTTTACTTTACTAAAACAGCCCTCTCTTTCTGAGCTGTTTGTTACCTGTCTAACCTTTTCTTTCCCGCTTCTGAAAGGCTTTAACTATCCCAGCTAGAGAAGCAAAAAGGAGCTGTAGGAATGCAGACTCAGTCTAGCTAAGGCAGGCCAGTAAAACAAGGGTCCTTGAGAACTCCAAAGACCTTCCAGACGCCTTCTTGACATGGGATGGGTCCCGCATGCTTCACAACTGCCTTGGGAGATGGTCGCCCACTGCCAGAGTAGCTGTAGCCCACGAGTTTCCTATAAGTCTGTCTCTTTGGTTTTCCTTTTATTTTATTTTATGTTTTTTCCTCTCAGATACTCACCAAGAGACCGAAGGCCCATTTGAGAGAAGCACAGAAGGAAGGGTGGGGCTTGGGGAGCCCGCTTTCTAGATTTGCCTTTGCTCAGGTTACAAACTAAACTGCGAATTGGTAGCTCAAAGGAAACTGTAGTTGTACAGCTGGGGTGCATGTGTGGCAGGACAGATTAAAAACAAATCCATTCTACTCATTCTATGTGTCAGGATCTTTGCTTTGTCTCATTGCAGTAAACTGTGACCTTAAAGTCCATCAATATGACCGAAGGAAGTTTTGGAGTTGAGGACGAGTCCTTGTATGCTGTAAAATTGAGTAGCAGGGCAATGCCAACCAATTCCTACTAATTTGCTGGGGCTGGGGTGGGCCAGGGTGGGGGAGGGATCAAATACAGGCTTAGGCGGCAGTGGTCAGCTGATGAGCTTCCGCCTCCGAATCCCTTTTAGACTTTTTAAATGTCTGTCAGATGTACTCAGGAAGACAAAAGGAACGTTGCCGTATGTCTAATTCTGTCTTGCAGAAAGTTATGAACAATAATGACAGGAAATATATTACCTCTGTGGGAGGCCTATTTGTTAGTCTGCTTTTTTCTTGTAAAATTTTTTTGCCCTTTTTCTATGTTACTAACATGCTTAATAACTAACATGTCATTCATGGAATGTTTCATTTTACTAACCGTTACCTGAATCAAAAAAATGTACTAACATGGTAGAGACCATCATATTTTTTAAGTAACGATCGTTATTCTGTTCACAGTTTTTAATTTCCTTTCTCCCCCCTTCTCCACAAAGCACTCAGGCATTGGACACGCTATGGTAAACAAACTACATTGTTCGGTAGATATCATTCTAATTGTTTCTTATTTTGGGTTTGCCGTGTGTTTTCTTTCTTTCTTTTAACTGTAGACATCATTAACAAAAGAGGAACTGCGGTTGGTACTCTTCTGCTTACTTTGACCTCCTTCTTTTCGTCTGTTGTTGACCTTCTTATTTTTTATCTGTTCCTGTCAACTTCTGTTTTCCAACTCACCTGTAGGGGCATCGTTAACGTTTCGAACGTTTTGCATCCAGCTGTGGTTAACACGGGATAAGACAAAACGGTGGCTGGCCCGAGTGACCGCAGGCTCAGCCAGTCCCTAACTATTCATGATGCATGGCATGGAAACTTGATTTGGGAATGATGGAGATGCCACACCCACTCATCTTTACGTCATCACCAAGCAGTGTTTTCCCTTGGTTCTCCCTGTTTTCTTTCCTTTCCTTTCTGAACTGTTCTGTCCCTCCTGCACGTGCACATCGGCGTGGGCCGCTTCTCCTGGTTGTTTTGCTTCCCCGCCCCCTCTGGCATGGACCTAGGCACTTGCATGCTGAACATCTGCTGCTCAACAGTGCAATCAGTGACGTTGCTGGAATAGCTTGCGCCTTTTATGTTAACGAGGTGCACGTTGTATTAGTTAATAGCAGACGACTACTTTACTAACATGTACACCAGCAAAACTAACCTGGGAAGCATTTTACTAACACCATTTTTGTGTCTGCTAAATAACTTTTGAGTTGCAGTAGGGATGATGTTAACACTAGTTCAATAATCAGTTAACTCTCTCTAACTAGTTTAGATCTTGTAGGCCTAGTTGAATAGAATCCAAGAATAAACCTCAAACAGACATGAAAATGGGTTCCACCATAGGTCTAAAAATAAAAACCAAACAAACAGAAAAAAAAAAAAAAAGCAAAGAGCAAAACAAAAATATAAAACAAAACAAAACACAAAACAGGCATATCCCAGGATTACAGTATCTAGGTCTGAGTATAGCGTGTCCTTTCCCTGTGCTTTGTTATCTAGGTGACAATATCAGTGGATGGGATTCTTACCACAACGGGCTACACGCAAGAAGATTATACCATGCTGGGGTCTGATGACTTTTTCTATGTTGGAGGCAGTCCCAGCACAGCCGACCTGCCAGGGTCACCAGTCAGTAACAACTTCATGGGCTGTCTCAAAGAGGTAAATATCACTGTTACCAGAACCGTTCCTACCTCATAAGCTCATCATTTCAGATGCCGACTGAAAGTGCCTTTGCGGAAGACCTGACGTTTCTAGAATCCAATGACGCAACCTTAAATTCAATATTCTACTGTTGTTTACGTAGGATTTGGTGCAGGGGAGGAGGGCAGCTCAAAGAAAATTCTGAAGGGATTAAGTCTCTCTTTTTTCCTGGTTGGTGTGTAATAATTGAGATTTACATAGGCAGTTGTATATTAGCTATAAAAGGAAGTCAAACAAAAAGAGACATTGGGTCTAAAGTGAAGCTAAATACCTTGTTCATTCTATGCAAACGCCTTAGGTGTTAGGTCCACAGATGTTATCTACAGTGGCGAGTTTTTTTGAGAATTACAGGTAAAAGGAAGATAAAAACTAGGCTACAAGAGAAAGAGAGACTACATTAAAATAGTGAGTCTTGTATAATGAAACAATTTTGTTTGTGTTCTAACCATGTTCTGAAGGAAGTGAAGCTGTTTCACTGATCTGGTGACGTCACTTAATATCTACCTAAGCAAAAACTCTCAGGATAACTAAACGATATCAAGAATTTCTGCCTTGTTTCCATCTGTCATTGTTTGATGCAATTTTGAATAGGGTTGGAGCTTGGTGGGATGTGGGGAGAGTAGGATTAGGAAGACCCTGAATTTCAACTTTATTATTTTTCCAGAAAGGCTGCCAGTTTTCATTCAGGCATAACCCAATTTCTTTTGGCTACTGGAAACAGATTTCTCTTACACCGTATGGCTGCCATCTAATGATATGGACTCCTAAACCATAAAGTTTAGTTTATTATTTTTTGGAGGTGTTTTTAGCAAGTAGCGAAGCACTTTGATTTATTCTAAAAAAAGAAAGAAATTATTTTCATGATACATTCTTGATTCAGGTAAGCCTCAGTGAAAAACAAACCCAGTAGCTTAGATACATCACTGCTGAGTTATCCTTCCCTGTCTTTTATTTACGTGAAAATACTGGCTGTTGAATTGCCTCGTACGTGGCTATATACAGAACAGTCCTAAGGTGGATTCAGTATGCTCTAGTTTCAGCAGATACAAGGATATGCAGGTCTGAAAGGCTGAATCTACCCATACCCAGGTTGACTGTCCCTCAAAGAGGAACCTCTGTTCTTTACAAATATGTGGTATGACACAGGACTGTGTTGAGCTGTGTAGGGAATAATAATTATTGTTATATAATCATTATCATTATGATGCTGCTGATAATGATAGTACTAAATGTTCAGAGCTCTTATTTTGTGCCTGGTGCTATCCTAAGAGCTTTACGTGGATTCCTATATGAGCAATTCCAAATATAAGAATCAGCACAAAGCCAACTCCTAGGAGGCAGAGATCAAATATATCCCAGATTTCCAAATTCTCCAAGCTGCTGCACCACTCCGTCTCTTTCACTGGCCTCTCCCTCTCCCCTCAGCACTCTTTGGTCACGTCTGGTTGCTGCAAATTCTCACCGAACTCAGAAACTATACTTAGAGTTACGTGGTTTATTACAGAAGTAACAGGGTACAAGTTGGGATCAGGATCAACAGGCTACAACTCAAGATCAGGATCAGGAAGAATGTAGGCAAAGTCCAGAAGGCTCCCCTGAAGTGGAGAGCACACCCCTCCCTTCTTTAGTGCAGGACAGTTCTCTCAGCTCCTCTTGGCCATGCAAGCAAGCAGACCCTTCTCTCTGCCATGCATGTACCCTTTTGGCTGTGCAGGCCTCCTCTGGGCCCCCTCAGGACAGGCCTCTTTTCCGCGCATACCCCCTCTCAGTCGTGCAAGCCTCCTCTCAGCCCCCTCAGGATAGATCTCCTCTCGACTCCCTCAAGGCAGGCCTCTTGGCCCTTTAGGACCCCTCTCAGCTGTGCAGGCCTCCTCGGGGCCCCCTCAGGACAGGCGTCCTGTCAGCTGCCTCAGGAAAGGTCTCCTCTTGGCCGTCTCTCAGCTGTGCAGGCCTCCCTGCCTTTGGCCTCCGTGCCATCAGCATCTCCACTGCTGACCCAGCTCACAGCCAGTGTAGCAACTTAGTTCAGCTCTTGTAGCTGCATTCCCAGCAGCAGATTTTTGCCTTCACCACCGCTCTGCTGTAGGGCCCCTTCCAGGCCTCTCGCTGTCTTCAGTGTTACAGCCCTTGACCTGTGTTACAGCTTTTTTAGGAGGTTCCCCACCTTCTCTCTCTCTGCTTTTTCTCTCTTCTTGCCTCTCTCACCTTTTCTCCTTTCTGAAACCTCTGGCGGGGGCTGGCTGCTTATATAAGCAAACTGCTTGTCAATTTCAAGGCATGGCCCTTCCATCAGGGCCACAAACTGACCAATCCCCTCAGTGGACCATAGTCACTTCATTTGCATAGTACAATGACCAATCTCTGCAAGGTGCATACCAATCACAGGGCAGCCTGCAACCCAGCGCGAGACAAACAGTATCAAACCATCAAGTTGTTCACAGCTTACCAGGAAATGTCAATCAAACTGGGCAAAAGTAACAAACCTTCTAGTGTAGAAAACTAGCACAAAGGTAACTCCTCAGGGCTTAGGGGAAAAATCTCTCAAGCTGTTCTTCCAAAGAGCCAAGGCAAAAGTTCACATAATGGAACTCACTTCACTACAATTCCCCACAAGGTGGTTAGTAAATTTGTTCCGTGTTTTTTTCAGACAAGGAAACTGAAGCTTTTCGTATGCCATCGAGGCAATTCTGACTCATAGTGGCCCTATAAGGACAGAGTAGAACTGCCCCCACGGGGTTTCCTCGGCTATAAATCTTCACAGGAGCTGATCACCAGGTCTCTTCTTGTGCAGAGTGGCTGGTGGGTTCGAACTGCTGGCCTTTTGGTTAGCAGCTGAGCTCTTAACCACTGTACTACCAGGGTTCGCAATCAGCCCCTACGTCCTGCCTTACCTATAGCAATTTAATCCTGAGACAGACTGGGAAAAGGAATGGGAATAGAAGGATCACCAATACAAACTGGAATCTAGGTAAAGAGGCCTTTCTGGACACTGAGTTCAGCTGAACTACATGGTCCTCTGACTGTGCAGCATGGATGATATGACTTTTTATGTGCACGAAGCTGCAGTTCATTGCCTTGATCTGAAATTACAGTTATACTTATCTGGAAATAATGTCTTTATTTGTGAGTTGATATACCTTAGAATTAATCTCTTTTCAATATTAATCTCTTTTTATATTGGCCTATCAACTATAAAATGTAACAGAATCACCATAGCAAAAGCAAGCCAGGTGAAAAAGAAGTCAGGTGGTCTTCCAAGTTAGATGTCATTGGTAGCTACTGAGTCCATGCAATGATGACTCGATCATGTTATTCCCTCTACAGGTTTTGGATACACTATTGGACGCTTCCCATTTTTTGTTCTTCCATAGCCTGGGGTATGTGTTTTAGCAAGCCCTGCCCATTTTTTCTTGGCTTGTCCAGTCTCTTTCACTTTATTTCCTCCTGCCATATTAGAGAGTAGAAGAAGACTGGCAGAATTTGCCTGTGTATCAAAACATACCTTAGTCGGAGGGCTTCTTGAGAATTCATAGTTTTCATCCATGTCTGAATTATTACTTGTTTAGAATGCCCTGCTCTTCCTACTTCTGAAATAAAATAGTGGCAAAGTATCATAGATTTTGAGTTAAATCACCTTGGTTCAGATATGTTAGTTTAACAGAGTTATTGAAGAGAGGAACACACTCAAGATCATGATCACCACATCTCTCAGCAGTAAGTCTATGTGAATTCACTTAACTCTAGCTTGGACTTTCTAGCATGTGGAAATTACACATTGCACGTTTAAAACCTTAATTATGGTTTCTTGTTTTTTTTTTTTGGCTTGTACAATTTTTGTTTTCAATCTTAGTATGTAATCACTCTATGGATGATCAATCCTGAGGGCAGGGTGGGTGGGATTGTAGTAACATGTTGTGGACAAAATTATGGAACGTCAGAATAGGAAGGGAGTCTACCAGGATGGTGCAAATGTTTTGTTGATTGGGCTGCTAACTGAAAGGTTGGAGGTTCAAATGTACCCAGAGGTGCCTTGGAAGGAAGGCCCGGAGATCTACTTCCAAGAAATCAGCCAATGAAAACCCCATGGAACACAATTCGTTTCTGACACACAGGAGGTCACCATGAGTTAGAGTCAAACTTAATGGTATTTTTTTTTTTTTTTAGAATAGGAGGAATCATGGAAATCATTTTCCAAGTGATTGCAGATAGGAAACAGACCTACAGAAGTTACTTGAGCCTCATAAAAACAATGAAGGTGTAAAGGCAGGATTAGAACACAAAACTCTGTCAGATAAAATCCAGTATTTGAATGACTTGATATTTTATTGTAAAATGATGCTGCTCAGGTTACAAATATAGAGACAGCCTAATACTCTCACTAGTTCACATCTTGATTCCTTTAAATATAAAAAATAAATGAATTAAAAGAAAATTACTGGACTATGTTGAAATAATCCATAATCTAATGTTCATTCAAAGTAAGTTAGGTTCTTTTCTATCCAGCATGATGTCTGTTTGGAGTGAAACTTGGCTTGCATGTAGAGCAAATAACTCAATAGGAAAGTCTCTCCTTTTTTTTTTTTTTTTAGTTATTATCAATTTGCAAAATAAAATTAAAAATAATCAGGCAAAAACCTAACCTTAATATAATACTTTGTTAAAAATTAAAAGAAACTTTCAATAGCCATAAATATAAAATAGAGAGGTCAAAGTCCTTTTTTAAAAATTATTTATATTTTCATCATAAATTAATCAAAAAACTTTGAAGAAATGTTTGTGCTCACCAAACATGGCTTTCAAGGATATCAGTTGAGAAAAGATAAAGGAAAATCGTAAATAATGTGATACCGTTACATACAGCCCATATCTATGCAATTCCTGGAGGTCATTAGGTCTTTAAAAATATGTGTTTTTAAAGTCTTGTTTTTACAAAAGCAGCGTGATTTGTGCTTTAGCAG